GATACATTTTATCTTTTTAGTTATGTATTTTATAGTTTGATTATAATATGAGTAGTTATGCCCGACAAAAATAGATAACAAACATCTATAAAACACTGCATTCTCATATTTTCACATGGAAGACTATTAGAGAAACCTCATCAGCGACAACATTAAAGCATCCCTGTGGTGTATTTTGTTTTTTTTCTCCTCTGCTTCATGATCGTGTTTTTTTCCTATGAAAATCATTGTAGTTATCCATTCAATATCGTTGTCTAATTGTTTTGTTATATTTAATATGATGTATACGATAACTATCGTTTATTCAGGGATTATTTTACATATAACGTTCTAAAAATTAATTGGTACATTTGGAAATCAAAAAAATATTGGATACATTTTATAGCTTTTTGCATAATCTCTATCATTGCAAAAATATAGGTGAAGATTGACCTGAGCAGATGTTTATATTGCACGGGCTTGTGAGTGCAATGTATATTCTACGAGGTATAATTTTTCGAAATATTCATGCAAAGCCCTTTTGTTGCATACCAATCCTAAAATATATTAGGCAAAAGAGCCTGGTTTTCGAAAGTATCGTAAGATATTTCCTAGGACCTGTCTTGTGACAGAATTGAGGAATGTCATTGAACCATCCTAGGATATGTTTTAGACTGTAAATCAAAGCTGTCTTAAGATGGTCATGATCAGGATGGTCTTAGGACAATCCTAATTATATCAACATTCTTTTAAAAGACATTATTTTTTCTTCTACATTAACACAATTTTTCTAATTTACTTTAATATTAACAGTATGGTTTTTATAAATTGAATAATATTTTATATTCGGTTTCGAACGATGATAAAACTATTATAAAAAAGTGGAGGGAATAAATAAAGCTTATTTGCCATCAATTTGTTGTTAAATGGAAGTTTTGTGGCTGGATATTAGCAATATAATACAGTATAAAATAATAAAATATTTTGAAGTTTTTTTTTGTAAATTATTACATGTGAGAAAAGTTATAATTAAAAATAAAATACTGAGGATCACTTTGCATGTTGTATATATCAAATATGCAGCATATTAAATGTGGTCAGTTTATGAGCAATACTAACAACTGTGTATTGCATGTACATGTACTATACATTAAATCTTAACCGTGAAATGAATTCCTAATAGACATCTACGCATTGCACTTTAGTTTGTGGGAATACATTAAACGGAAAACACATATTTTATAAATTGCCAATGACAGTGAGAGTAGTAAACTAATTGTGTTTTCGATGCAAAGGAAACCCTATTTCTGACCATCCTGAGACCATCTTATGACATTATTTTGATGTCCTAAATTTACGTTTAATTGTAGGATTTATCTTAACTTAAGACACATTCAAAAATATCACATATGACTAAGATATGTACTGAGACAAATGAAGACAACACACAAAACTGTGGGAATATCATAAACTTCCAAAAGGAGCAAGACCGGATACATCGACAGGGTAAAATATTAAAACCTATCACTGATAACGTCACTAATTGAAAGCTTTATTTTGTACTAGTGTATTATGATAATGTATTACACGCTAACTTTTAGTTACGTTCTATTCGTTTATATGAAATATATTGTTGATATACAATAAACGTTTTATTACTCTTTGAAATGATTAAACGGAAATATGAGATAAACTTTATTGCAACCAATGCAAGCAACACAGTGAAACTTTGTTCAACATGTTTGAGGTACTAACATACTTTCTAATGATTTCAAGAACACAACCTTTATGAAACGCTTTCAATTACGACAAGCGTGGACAGAAATGGTAGATGTAGATGAAGTATTTAAATAACATACGATAAAGCAAAATGAAATTATTATATATCTTATGCATAAAACAATTTAACAGAAAACAAACTCAAAGTAATTACTTGTTTTTAATGATATCTAAATTATGGTTACTGGTGAAATAAATTGATAATGATTCCGGTATCATAGTAGTAAAAAAATCATTGTGTTTCCTTGTATCATCTTTATCGTGTTTTACGTACCTAAAGACTGCATCCAAACTAAAAAGATAAAAAAAATCCTCCAAAATAAATCGGTGTCAACAAAAACAATGGTCACTAACACCTACATTATTTGTAAAATATTTTTTTTCGTTTATTATTGTACTGAATGCTATCTCAGAAATGGAAAAACCTACTATGACAGATGATGTTTATCTTCTAGTCACGTTCACCCATTGAATCAAATTACCCATGAAGTGGAAAGTTTTATTTCTTTGGAATTTGACTTCTCCCCACTGTGGTTCAATTGAAAGAATAAATTACTTGAGGTACATTTGTTCCATTGAGACATTTTGAGAATAAATAATAGAAGTATAGCTGAATATAAATTAAAATTTGAAATATATTCATCATGCACATTGTGATAACGGTTATAGATCGGTTATAGGTACTATATTATATATATAATTTACTAACCAATAAGAGTAAAAAAAAATTTTCTAAGTACATTGATTGTTGTATTGGCATCGTGTAACGTCAATAAGCGGTACTGTAAACAAGCAAATGCTAACTGTTAGGGAGGCATTTAAAAATAAATGTTTTTTTACAAATCAGCATTAACATCGTTTCGTTTCTAAAAAAGATACATCATTTCGAGTTGCGTTCCGAGAAAGTTTAAACTGAATATGAGAAAAAAAAAGATATGTGGCAGGATTGCAATTCAGACATCTCTTCACAAAAGACTAAATGACGAGAATGTAAACAACAAAAGTGTATAGCGCTATTGAAATTTGACAACGCATTTACCTTTGTTTTTACTTTTTATTTTTACGTAATGAAGTACAAATGGTATACATTTATTTTAAAGACTTTATTTTGACCATCCGTCTGTCCGTTCAATATAATGTAAAAGTTTTTGTTTTAGGTAGTTTACCATGAAGTAGTGATCACATCAAATTTAAAAATGATGTTCATTATGATAAGAACTTTATAATCATAAACCAAGTTACGGTTTTTGATCCTGATTTCACGGCTCACTGAACATTGAAACGATATAGTACGATGTCAGTGCTTATTCATTTTGATGAGGAGATTTCAAACTATGTGCCAAATTACGGTGTTGATCTTTATTTCATGGTTCAATTATCATATGAAAGTGCTAGTGCGAACAGGGCATGGTGTCTTATGGATATATTTTCTTGTATGTGTCTCATTTAATGAGATTTATCTGATGAATAGAAAATGTAATGCCCGATCTTATTTTGGCTTTTACCGTATACATTCTAAAAGCGCTCAAAGGTTTAAAGTAAATTCAGCGACATATTGTTACAACGAAGACGTACAATACTGTATCTTTCAAAGTATTTATCGAATACCTAAGTACATATATGGATGAATACCATTAAATAAGAATAAGATGTTGTATGATTGCCATTGCGACAACTCTCCACCAGAGACCAAATGGCAAAGAAATTAGCAGTTATAGGTCACTATACGGCCTTCAACAATGAGAAAAAACCATACCGCTTAGTGAGCTATAAAAGGCTCCGAAATGAAAATGTAAAACAATTCAAACGAAAATGAAAACTAATGACCTGATTTAACAAATTAAAAAAAAAATGATATACAGCAACAAGGACAAACACTGAATTACAGTCTGATGATTTGGGACCGTCACAAATAGAATGTGACGGGGTTAAACATGTTTGCTGGCGCCAAATCCTCCCTTTTACCTGGGAAAGTGGTGTAACAAAACGAAATAAGAAGAAACTATAAAAATCAGTTAAAAGAGGATTAACTTATCAGATCAATCGAAAACCCTAACAAAACACCAAAAAAAACACGAAGTACATATCTGAGTGTACTCCACGTTACTGAAAGCTAATTCAAAGTCAATAACAGCTTATAAAAATATGTATCTAAGATTACTCCGCATATCTTCTAACTGTTAGTTTTTTAACAAAATCAGCTTAATAGGACTATATCTTTAATATCAAATATATATATATATATAAATCTTTTTAAAATTAAGAATTTAATGTTATCACTTTCCTTCAAATTACAGCTAAAAGCAAACATTATGAATAAGATGTTGATAGACTTTGCAACATGTATGTAATATGCCTACCAGACAAATTTTTGCGAAAACTCGAAAAGTACGACAGTAGAATATTATCGAGAAATTATAGGATACCACAAACGTTTTGAAATTCGCAGAACTTAATCGCCGGTAAATCGGATAAAAATAAATAAATACGAAATTCGTTTTTGAAAATACTGTTTTTCACCAGTTGTGATAACTTTCTTTTTTTAAAACACATAGTTTCATACGAATGTGAAACGCATAAATGAGCTGCAATATTTCCAGAATACGTTCAAAACGCACATTTATATTCGTAATAAATTATTTGCTTCATGACAACATTTTTGCTTATCATTTATATGTTTGTAAAAGATCAAAACATTTAGAAAATGTTAGGGAACATCAATAATTGAATTCTCGCAGTGAATATTTTTGATGATTCCCTTCCATCTGACATATCTATAATGACGAAAATTTATTAATTATGCAAGAAATAAAAGTCCAAATCAATAAATAAACTAAATTATGAGGATTTTTTAGCAGTTTTCTCAAATTTGATACATCGGACTGTCATGAAGCATGAACTTGTCACACTTTTCAAATTTGATAATTATTGAAGCTTGTATAATACATGAGGTTCTGATAGGTAATTTGAAAATTAGTTTATTTGTGTCAACCTTGAAAAAGACAAAAAAACATAAAAATTCAAATGATCTAATTTAATATTTATTAAACAGCACATTTTAATAACAATATTTAGACCAAATGGTATTACTCTTTTACTAAAATCATTGTTCCCTTGTGTGCGTTGGCACTGGATAAACTAATATATTCAATAAAAGCTTATAACGCTCCTTAAACCCACATGGGAGTTTTGTTATAAAAAGGCAAAGTGAATATTGTGAAGGTTCAGTCAATTACGTTAAATAGTTTATTTTCAAACACATTTTTGTACAGAAACACCATTTGTTGTAACATTCAGAATGAACACATTTGCTCAAAACGGGTATTGTTTTGTTACTGTGATAACACTTCTAAGCAGTGCCTGCGGATACATTGTAAGTATTTATAGTTTCTTCAAATTCATTAGAAAGAAATACTATAATTTGTCATTTTTCTAATATATGCCAGCAATATATATAATTTTTTAAATATCAAATCTAATTTACAATGGATTTTAAATGATAAGAAAATAAAATGCATGGAATTAATATAATGTTAATAAGTTAATAATTGATAATAACAACTATTGTGGTTAATAATGATAATAACAGGATATCAACTATATGTGTATTTGAATGTTAAGGCCCGTTGTCACTATCAATATTTGTTTTTGTCAACGTTTTTGATGGGTTTTTTTTATAATGACAACCGTCAAAGAAAACTTTGATGAAAATATTTGACAGACTTGGATAAAACAGAATCTTATCCTATTTTACTAGAAACTTGGATGGATTTGGGACAGGAATTATCTAATCACAGTGCAGTTTTTTCTTTGACCAAGCTTTTAATGAAAAACTTTGATAGTGACAACAGATGACTTCGAAACTTTGACCAAGTTAACTTTGATAGTGATAGCAGATGATTCGTTTTGATGACATTGTTTTTATTAAGTGATAGCTTTTATTTATCAAAACTGCAATATTACGTATTTTCTTCATGTGATTTTGTCGTCTGTTATACGAATATAATACTAAGAATTATTTATCCAAGGTATAAATTACCTGAGCTGTATTTGGCAAAACCTTTCGTTATTTTTGGTCTTCAATTCTCTCCAACTTCATTCTTTATTTGGCCTTTTTAACTATTTCTATCCGCGAGTCCCTGATGAGTCTTTTGTAGGCGCGTCTGACTTACAAATTAAAATTTTAAGTCTGGTACCGATGATGAGTTTTTTATACGTGTACCTTTGTTACTACGCGGATTACCCTACTGCGTAGTCATATGACAGGTTTGATCTTTCACCAGTTAGTATGCCTGTCAGGAATCCCGCCAATGGTTATTTTTTCAGACTAGAATAATAAGTTCTGTAGGAATTCGTTGTTGATAGAAGGACTTCATAAGTACGTGTTCAATTGATGCACAACTTATCAAGATATTATGGGGATTCAGAGGATTATATATAAAACTTGGAAAGAAACCATTAAAATTTCGAAAAACGAACAAATAAGACAAAATGATTGATTGGCTGACTAACGCCATTTTATTGCAAATAGCATATTATGGAGATTGAAAATGAGAAAAAGAAGTAGTACATATAAGCGGAATTAGCATCTCGAGAATAAAGAAGTCACAATTTTAAAAGATCAGGAGTAAACACCCCAAGCATGGGGAAGCTGTTTACAACCTTCACTTTGCATGCGATACAGACTTTGTAGATATAAAACAATTTGGAGATGGCTATTATTCTTGGACTCCCAATCCCTTCACATACTCGACAAACCAAAAAGGCAAAGAACTGTTCTGAATTTTAAAATCACCATAAGGTATTCCACAGTGATCAAAGCTAAAATTTTACTCCATGCTCAAGACTGCACTTAGAAGTGGTATGAGGTAAATACACGTCGATCACGTCACACCAGTTCTTTGAAAAATAACATAAAAAAATTACAGGTTCAGGATCATAAGCTTATCCTCCGATGAAACCGGCATCTCTCATCGGTATATCTGTAAACTACAGTAACGTAACTGTTGTTTAAATGTATAATTATCAATTATGGACTTTTGACGAGGTCAATACGTTATATATGGACCTGTTAATATGATATTGACAGAGGACGAAGTCCGAGGTTCAATATTATCTAACAGGTCCATATATAACGTATAGACTGAGTGAAAGTCCTTAATTTGTATACATAGTGGATTATTGAAATGTTCTTTCTGTGTATTTTACATTGTCTTTTGCAAGATTTTTAATATTGACCGTCAATATATTTTACATTGTATTTTTCAATATTTTTTATATTGACCGTCAATAAATAGAAACAAAGCGTCCATATACTTAAATATCCTTTGTATCACGTGATCGTAATGACCAATGCCAAAAAAAGAATGCTACACCATATTAAATATAAAGAAATATGTTCTATTGGCGTTGATAAACTACCTTAGTAGTATATATGCGACTTATCACCGTATATTGACGTATAATGAGTAACACGACGTCTGCATGCAGTAGAGCTTGAACTGCTGACCTTTCCGGGGAACCTTAGTTCTTCCCAATTTTGTATGGTCTGATATTGATCAGTTGACAGGTTTCAGTGGAGAGTGTTTTTTCATCGTTTTAAGACTTGGCCAAAACGAAGTATATATTGTAATATGTTCAAAAATATAATAAAAGTGATAGCAATCCGCGCTTGATTTCAAGCTACAGGTTGTGAAAAAAGACACATTTTACATGGATCATACAGAGAAAATGCATCATAATGTAATAGAAGTTAAACTAAATGTATTCAAAATATAAACAGAAAAATTGGGTAACCGTAAGTTTTTATCGGCTTTGACATTAAATAGAAAAATGAATTCCTGAAGATTCCTTTATAAATTACAATGTATACATTTTCTGAGTTTCCTGGCCTTAATACGCAAAATTTTTAAAAAATGCAATCAAGCAAAAATATGTTTCTTTTGTTAAACTACAAGTAAATTTAACTTAAGAGCAAGAGCACATAAATTTGTTCATTTAAATGAAAATTCTTATTAGTAAATTGCGTTTCTGCACCGACATTTGCCTCTAAATTTAATTTTTAGACTTACATGTGTTATGTTCTGTTATTTTACAATCCAATATGGCAGAAAACATCCATACCATCTTAACTCATTTCATAATACAAATAGTTCCCTTTTAAAAGAATTTAAAAATGTAAATAAAACGTTTTATGATATGCGTTTGTTAAAGGAAGGATGTTACTAGAGTCCTTTTTATAAAAATACACGTATTGCTTTTTCAGGAAATTTAATGAAAAGTTTTAAATGCAACAATATGTAAAGCCAGGAAAGAGACAGCTGTTTACTTTTAAGGTTAAGTGTCGGTTGGGGTTTTTGTTTTGTAGAAATTATCATTTAGTAGTTAATTTTTTCTGGATTGATTCGATTTTAGAAAGAAACTTAAACTCCTTTATTTGTGCAGAAGATAGCCTTGGATACGGCGTAGGGTGACATAGATGGGTAATATAGTTTTTTATCTATTTATTTTTATTTGCGACATACCAAATTTTCTCATTTTCAATCTTTATGTTTTTAACTGTCCTGTTATTATGTTATTTCATGGCTGCATAAACGATCTTGATATCCCTTCAATGAGCGACCTGAAAAGGAGCTCTTTTAAAGAAATGATGACAAATAAAAAAATATATAAATATAGTGCGTCCAAAGCGCTTTCCATCTCAACTCCTATTTTGGATGTCAATATCATTATATTATCAGTTGATGTGAATTGCATATGGATTATAATTTATGAGTAGAATCGGAGTATTTTATAGGTACTGCGTGTGAATCAAGTTATTTTGAAATAAAAGATAATTGTTATAAAACCAGACTTTGTCAATGAATTCTAAATTTGTGCTTTTATTTACATTGTAGATTTTGGATACAAAAAACTTTGAAGACATGATTGACAATAATAGCCGTAAAGATGTATTTTCCACAGCGGATGAGTTGGCACTTTTAAAACTATTGCGCCCTTCCAAATTTGATGATTTATTGCTAGCTAATTCAAATGCATTGGATAAGCGGATTGACGACAGTTTTGTGGATGGAAATAGACAAAAGGTATACAGTATAAATTATTATTTCATTCACGTATTTCAATTTTTTAAGAAAATCGGTTATACATGTTTGCAACACATTTTTTTGTATTTCCCTACACACATCAATTTATCTTCGGTGATATTCTCTGTAAAAAATTTGTAATTGGATCAAAAAAGACAATGAGTATAAAAGACAGGAAGACCCAAGAGATGACCAAATAGTTATCTTGTTTTTTACGTGGTGTCTTATTCTCTGGATACATTCAGTATAAATTCAATCTGCAGTTGAACGAGAAATGTAAGAGACTAAACAATATAATGTTTTACTGTAAGGAGTTATAGTGTTATATTAATATCCTCTTTTCATTTCAGATGACGGACTATGAAGTGCAATCGAAACGACTTGCATGCATTCAATATGGTTGTAAACCTGGAAAGTAAGAAGTATAAAGATCATACTCAATATTGATAACAACTATGGAAGAAGAATAACTGCCATATTTAAATATAACTTTAAAATATCACAATTAGATATCTTAGAGAATTAATGAAAGCTATAAACTGCTGTGTATTGATATATAGTTAATGTCTACTTATAGGTACTTAATGTACACGTGTTAACATACTATTGTTCAACAATAAAGCAAAGGTGAAACAATTTAATAACTTCAACCCATGTAGCTTTCAAATTCATACGGATTTTAATTTTTACTACGGTTTCTTAGCAGACAAATGTTAGCTGTTAATGTTTTAACCCTTTAGTCAACCTGAAGTCTTTAATCGTATCCGAGATTATTCATATATCTTTGGCTCCATGGTTTTGGATTTGAGCGTTCCGGATGAAGGCAAGTCCGGAAAAAACGTTTCGGAAGTGTTACTGTAATATTATTGATACATAAAGATATGACAATTAAACCATAATGAACAAAATATCCAAAGAACATATGAAGGCCAATACACTAACGGTACCGTTTTTACTGCAGCAGATGCGCAGTTCGACAATAAATGTCTCTTAAGTAACGTTCGAGGCTATAATATTTTAAAATCCAAAACTTATTAAAGAATTGAAGAGCTGATAAAACCATAAAGGACAAAAAGTATGGCCAAAGACAGGCAAGGAATCCGAGCTTTGCTTGAGAACTATGCTCTTTATCAATAGACAAAACGTCGAACTCTATAATCACTCTGACCAAAACAGTTTCCAAAAAAATTGAAAGTGGTTAGAAAAGGTCTTTCAACAGCACCTTATTACACAAATAACAATCTAGTTTATAAACGACACAATTCATTAAATCAAGAAGTAAACGTAGCCACACCTGAAGCACAAGCAATTACTGTTCCACTATTATTTCCTATCGGTTTGCGCTCATGACGATTAACGAGTAACGATCGGAATATAAGATTCCTCACCCTTTGGGAGACACTAACACCTCACAACAATTTAAATAAACAAGCTATTTTAAATCAGTTTTAACAAACTAGTAAAAAGCAAACTTTGAAAAATAGAATTAAGTTATATTCTAGGCATGGCTACAGTTTTATTTCTAAATACACACCACGGAGAAATTCATTTAGAAACATAGTTATGCATGTCAATGATTTTTAAGATTGATTGGAGTACAGGTGATTGTTATTCTATGAAACTATATTCAAACTTGTCTTAAACGACATAATTATAATCTGGAAAAAAAAGCAAAGGTCCGATTAATTTTTTAAATATAATTGATAATCAATAAATCAATACCAAAGAATTAAAAATCTTAGTAATGTTTTAAAGGTGCAATTTATTTAGACCAGTAAGATCTGAACCATTACAAGATGAAAATAGGAAATTTCTTCCAATTCAGTATTCAAATAAAGGATTTTATTCTTTGTACACCTGTGACAATTTGTCAGGAAGAGAGCTGTTTTCCGTTCCTTCCAAGTTAGTTGATAAAGTATAATGTTTGTTTTGTCTGTTTTGTGGACTTCCCCCTTTAATTTCGGTATCATTTCTTTTTATACTTTGTGAGTCTTGAAAATATGAATGTTGCAGTTACCGCGTAGAAAAATCTGTTTATGCATTCCACGGGAAACTTGTTAATATCACCCGTGAACATACTGTATATAACACTTGCTTGTTAAACAAGCAATTGGCTTCTATACTGTGAAATGCCACTAAGCCAATATGTGTCACTACTACAAGAAACAACGTCATCGATCAATCTGATGTCGCCCACCAATATAACGTGCATCATAGCACAATTTCACACTCTTGATAATAATAAATCAAACTGGGTCAGTTCAAGATTGCCCAAAAAGCGGTAGTCCGGTACCACTACTCCAGCGAAAGATCTATTAATCCGGTTAATCTTTCTACGTAATCGAGCAATCACTGTTATAACCACTGTCACAGTTATCCCAGATTTACGATGAATTTTCACTAAGATAGTCTGGAACAGACTTCGCCAAAGGATAATTAGACCAAGAAACCTAACGCTGGACCATTTTTGAACCAGATACAGAAACTTGCAAGTGTTCGTTGGTGTCATACATTTGGGATTTGTACTTTGCGAAACTGGCGCCAAGTATGCTGCAGCGATGAGTCATGTTTAATTTTCAAAAGATGTGATGGACGTACCATTGTAAACAGGCGTCGAAATGACCGTTTCATTCCTGCGTGCGTATAGGAATTTGACAGATTTTGGCGGTCGTAGCGTTTTGATCAGTCCCCGAGGGTATCATCAGCTCACTGAGTAGTCAGTACTTCGGTACTGACATGATTTATAACAAACCTTTCTAAAATTGTATGTTTATAAATTTTGAAAATATAAAGAAACTAAGGTTTCAACTCCCTCAGGCAAAGTTGACCTTAGATGAATTTGGCTATGTGTTTTAGGTATTTTTGTCATATAGCTCTTCAACTGTTTCGGTACTTATACGTCCCTCGGATTTCAAATGTTTGGCTTTGAGCGTTCCTGATGAAGATAAATCCAGAAAAGCGCTTCGGACGCATGAAATTATTAAACGTGTTGTTTTCAATTGTTTTGATAAACTCATAGTAGAAAAAAAAACTGACAACGCCATGGTAAAAAAAAGAGAGAGCCGACGAAAAGACAAAAAAAAAACACTACATACAAACAAAAGACACAGCAACATAAACTATGACAAACCAGGGAAATTTCAGTGCTACGAAAGGGTAAGCAGATCCTCTTCTACTAGTTGCACCCGTCATGTTGCTCATGTACCCATTTGACAATAAGTCTCAATCGTTATATCATAAGCGAAGAAATGACGACGGGATTGTATATTCGATAGACGTGACCGACAACGCCAAACCCCTCCTGATTGATAAGGCCGCCAACTCACTCATTCAAAATTTGCAACACAAATACCAATGGACACTACAGGTCCGAACACTAAATTTGATTCGATCCTTGCCAAGAAGATGCAGAACAATGTTATCCACACCTAATTGTAACAATAAAACGTTAACGTGGATTGCCCAAACATTTGCCTGTTTTTTTTTTATATCTTTTTCTGTATCATGAATGACATTCGTGTTTAAAATCTAAAAAAAATATGATATACAGCAACAATCGACAACCACTGAATTAAAGTTCCTAACTTTAAACAGGTACACACACTAAAATATCAATCAGTACACATCCAACATCCGACGGATTTAGTGTAAGGACGTCGTTAACAGGAAAACATAACCTTGTGTAATGCTAAAATATATGTGTCGACAGATTGTAGAACCGTGAATGTACATTTGTGTATAACAATAATATTAAGTTTGGTTTCATTTACTGATAACGAATTTCATATTTATACCACTAGATACAGTATTCAAAGACCTAATTACAGTGTTGAATTTGAAACTTTCAGAATGAGTTTATTTAAAGGACCAAAAGTTTACCCGCATCGTGCTAAAAGTTTTAAGTAACTTTTTGGTAACGAAATCATTGACTCTATTTTATCAGTGATGCATTTCTAAATCTAGGAAAGGACAGTCATCACCGTTTATTTTAGACTTGTTTGAAGTAATTTCTTTTGGGTAAATTTAGACAGTATATTTAGAAAATTCCTTATAATTCAACGAAAAAATATATTCCACATAACGGGTAAGTTTTGTTGAATTTATCGATTAAATGCAATTTAGACAGGTCTTTACTGAGTTGGACATATACTGTGACTCATAACAGTACGTGAACAAGTCTGTTATTAAAGGGGCGCAATTGGTGCCAATAGGAATACACATAACCTGTCGATAACCTTGAAACGAACATAAATGTTGTCAAGGAGAAAAGTTACAGCTTCAATCATCTCATTTTATTTTAGACTTGTTTGAAGTAATTTCTTTTGGGTAAATTTAGGCAGTATATTTAGAAAATTCTTTATAATTCAACGAAAAAATATATTCCACATAACGGGTAAGTTTTGTTGAATTTATCGATTAAATGCAATTTAGACCGGTCTTTACTGAGTTGGACATATACTGTGACTCATAACAGTACGTGAACAAGTCTGTTATTAAAGGGGCGCAATTGGTGCCAATAGGAATACACATAACCTGTCGATAACCTTGAAACGAACATAAATGTTGTCAAGGAGAAAAGTTACAGCTTCAATCATCTCATTTTATTTTAGACTTGTTTGAAGTAATTTCTTTTGGGTAAATTTAGGCAGTATATTTAGAAAATTCTTTATAATTCAACGAAAAAATATATTCCACATAACGGGTAAGTTTTGTTGAATTTATCGATTAAATGCAATTTAGACAGGTCTTTACTGAGTTGGACATATACTGTGACTCATAACAGTACGTGAACAAGTCTGTTATTAAAGGGGCGCAATTGGTGCCAGTAGGAATACACATAACCTGTCGATAACCTTGAAACGAACATAAATGTTGTCAAGGAGAAAAGTTACAGCTTCAATCATCTCATTTTATTTTAGACTTGTTTGAAGTAATTTATTTTGGGTAAATTTAGGCAGTATATTTAGAAAATTCTTTATAATTCAACGAAAAATATATTCCACATAACGGGTAAGTTTTGTTGAATTTATCGATTAAATGCAATTTAGACAGGTCTTTACTGAGTTGGACATATACTGTGACTCATAACAGTACGTGAACAAGTCTATTATTAAAGGGGCGCAATTGGTGCCAATAGGAATACACATAACCTGTCGATAACCTTGAAACGAACATAAATGTTGTCAAGGAGAAAATTTACAGCTTCAATCATCTCATCACACCTTCAGTAAGTATATCTAGCATATCTACCTTCTTCATTTGACAAGAAGGCTTCTCAATTGTATTTATATGCGTTGCAGCAAATAAATTTGCAATCAGATTTTTCAAACGACCATTTAATTAAATAAGACAACTTTTGTGTAATAAGATTGTGTGAAAATGTAGTGTAAAGAGTTGAAAAGTCAAAACTGGCAATCTAATCAAAAAGATCACCAAAAGCACGTAATTTATCTAAAACATCCAAAGAATTTTTTACAATCCAAATATAGCTATTTCCACTATTTTCTTATATTTTATTACAAAAGTCAACAATACGTTCTTTGATAATAGTTAAGAAACTAGTTAAAAACACTGAAGGGTTGTAGAACACTTTTAGAGGTCGAAATGAAACGATAATTTATGGGACTTTGTGTAGATGAGGTCACCAATACAGAGCAGGGACTTTCAATTTTTCAGAAGAAGCCTTAAGCTGAGATTTGGAAATGATATGATTGTTTACAGAAGAATTTATAAGTCATTCTTTATAACTTTCCTGTAGTGTTAACGTCATACCAACAACCCATCGTTGACCTCTTTGTCAGACGGAACGAACACAAACCTCTTTGCGATTACTTTAAGTGTGTTTCTTATTCTAGAAATAGGCGTATTATGTACCCTTTAATCTATTTTTAAATCAGAATGTAATATTCGAATATGACCAATATTCATACATTTATTTAAATAAGAATTATTATTTTTTTTATCAAATTTGTTCCAGATAACACCGTTTTTTTACAATATGATGAAAGAGCGTCTTTTATGACCTGACGCGACTGTTTCCAATATATTTTAGACAAAAGACGATGTTTTGGCCATTTTTGTTACTTTCCTCTCGGTCTTGAACGATATTGAGGTCGTCAGTAATAACATGGCCATACGGGGTTGTTTGCATGTATACGAAATAATAGGTTGTTCTGTGTTATCAAAATAAGGAGGTATAAAGTTTTGAATGGTTGTCATTAAACATACCTGATAAGTTGATGTAAGCAATACATATGTTGATATATCTAATTTTCAGAAATTGTCGTTTAACATCTTCATGTTTATCGTTACGCGGGAACAGCCTATGGTGACAAAATGCTGTAATTATACTCGTTCATTCATAGAGTAGGCTGGAAAACGAGATTGTGTCACACTCCATGAAAATATTATGTAATTTACCAATTGGTATTTGACCAGGTTTACATAGCTGTTTTTAAATATAGATAGGGGATCACCAAGTGTATCATTTATACGATGTTTAATTTGTTGATTTCAAATGATACGCTTGCCATGAGATTGCTATGCATGCATTATCCGCCATACGAATCCACAATCAGATCAGTCAGAAATTCACAATATGGAAATAGGCTCCTATCGGTTTACACATTAGATCACATATGAATCTAAAATTGTTAGCATTATTTCAGCCTTGACATGAGTCTAGTGCTCATTTAACATACGATTTTATAGCAAACAAAATGAGTTCTCTGGGGGAACTCACCTCATCAATCAGGCAGATTTGGTATCAGCCTCTGATGAAAGACGAATTTACACTTGTATGCAATTTCGGCCGCCATTACTTAAAGCCACACAAGTATTCGCATTATATTGCATTACAATTTATAACATTTGATTTCATAATCTAAAAGTGATTGCAGCATGACGGCAGAAAGTTTTCGGAGACAGATCTAAAGTCATTCGGAGACAAAATTTTGCTCAATATCAAAAGTGTAAATATGATGGGAATATTTATTTTTTTGGTAATTTGGTAAAGAGTTATTTATTGTTAAGCACTCAATCATGAAGCCAATGGTATAGGGTATCTAAAAAATTACGGATTCTTTTTTAAACGATGGTGATTTTTTTTGTTTTTAAATTTGGATTTCATGATTGATAAATTGTAAAAATGATTGATGGCCTTGTAGTACATTTCACTTGGGTTTTAATTTCGCAAAAAGCAGTATTTGAATAAATATTCATATCGACTTTGTCCTTTTTCACAAGTAACAACTGCCTCATATTAATGTTAACGATTATAGTTTTAGATTAATAAAAACTGTATGGAAATATTGAAACAGGTAATGAACAATTTTGTGATAGATGACTTATAGCATAGATATACGCGCTGACCATTTTTCTTACTTCAGAAATGTGTAGTTATGTTCCGACTCTGAGCTAAAAACTCCCATTATTACAAAAAATACGATGTAATTTAAAACGGAAGTTTGTACAGATCATAAAAAAAATTTTGTTTAGCTACAACGAATTTCTTACGTGTTTCTTATGTTATTTTTTTTTTTTTTTTTTTTGGAATGAATATTTGAAAGGTTGTTATGGTTAGTGATCGTGTTAAGCCAATGCTTACAATTCGTTCATACAAAGTTGACATATAAATAGTGAATTCTAAATGAAGCTGTAATTTGTAGGAATTGTTTTCATTAAGTTCCAAAATCTATGATAATAAATTGTTTTCAGTTGTTCATAACAATCGTAGAAATTTTAATTTGAAATATTAAATCTATAAAAAAAAAACGAAATATAAAGTCCAAGCCAATTTAAAATTTGATCATCGCCAATTAAATCCGTAATAACTAAATCGTAAGGTTGATATATGCGAAATGTGAATATAAATAGAAAACTACACAACCATCTCAACAATGGTTTCATTGTGAATGGTTTGTATCAGAGTTTTCTTAAAATAAAGTATTTTTAAAGCGATTGAAAGTACATTCAAAGATATGTTGTAAATGTTGACAGGCAGTGTTTCATTTTGAGACAAATTTCCTTAATAAATGATTGGAAGACTAATAATGCTATCAACTTGCATATATTCTAAAGTGTACTATGAATTATTTAGTTTGATTCAATTAAATTCTGAAAAAGGTGAAATGATATTAAATGAAATATTTTTTTGGAAAATTTTGATAATATTATTTTTCTCTACAACCAGAGGACATTTAAAAGCATTGACTATGTTCTATGATTAGTATTTCCCGCGTGTAGGTATTCTATATAATATAAAATGAAAAAGATATGTGGTATGATTACCATTGAGACAGCTATCTATTAAAACTAAATAGCATGTTCCATTAAAGACCACTATATGCCTTTCAACAAAAAGTAAAACCTATACCGTGCATTAATTAAGCTATAAGAGGCTTTTGGGTAACAACATGTGACTCAAAGAGAAACCAAAGTTCTACAACAAAAATATAAAAACAATTATGAAAGACAGCAAAAAAATTTCAACCAATGCTTATTGCTTTTGACAGATACATAATGAATGTGGCGGTTTTAAATATAAAATAGAAGATGCGGTATGATTGCCAATGAGACAATGGCAAAATATGAAAAGACACAAAATACCGATATAAGAGTACTTACAGGCCATTAATTTCAAAAACTTGACGCGTCTTTCCTTATTGTTTACCGGACTAATTGTCATCTCTCTGTATAGAAGATTTGATAATAAAATATTGCTTATTCTGTTGCAAGTTCAATTAAGAGAATAAAAATCATTATCAGTCATTGAAAATACTTTTTTTCCCACTTTTATCACATACTCTTTGTATAAATATTCTGATATTATCAAAATATTCGTTTTATCAACAGGAGTTTTTCCTTTCCAGAATTATAATATCATTAAGTTGACTTTTAATGGTTTCATTACGAGCAAAAACGCACAGTACACTTGGCAGTAAAGTATTTTATATTGACATCTTTTCAATTAATACATAGGTTTGCAAAATATCAAAGCATCAGTGAAATGTTAGTGAACATTAATACTTAATCCCCATACAGATACATTTGAGAATCACCTCCCATCTGATCTATCAATCAGGAAAGGTATGATCAATTATGCAAGAAATAGTTGTCAAAACTAATAAACAAACCGAATTATTGGAACTTTTTCAGCATTTTTCTCTAAATTGATGCATCGCTCTGTTATAAAGCATGAACTTGTCACACTTTCAAATTTCACAATTATAAAGCTTGTGGAATATATGAGGTTCTAATGGGTAATTTCATGTAAAGTTTCGAATTAGTTCAATTTTTGTCAATATTTAAAGACATGTTCTCTTACAATTCAAACAATGTGCAAAGGTATTTATCAAATAACATTTTTGAGTAAAATTATTTACCCCTAAATATAATGATTTTTTCTTAAATCAATCTTCCCGTTTGTGCGTTTCCACAAGATAAACTAATATATTAAATGAAAGCACATAACGCTCATAAAACCCACATGGGAGTTTCGTTATAAAAAGGCAGACCAAATATTGTGAACGTTCAGTCAATTAAATTGAATAGTTTAATTTAACACATTTTGTTGTAACATTCAGTATGACAACATTGGCTCAAGACGCGTTTTGTTTTGTTACTGTGATTACACTCCTTGGCAGTGTCTGCGGATATACTGTAAGTATTTTTTGTTTCTTCAAATATTATTTGGTAAAAATCCTAAAATGTTTATTTAACATTCGCCAATAACTATAAATATTCTGATAGGAATTGAATATAAAACCTATCTAATCAGAAAAAAATTCCAAAATATTAATCGTTATATAATTATGTGTTTATGTTATAAAATTTTAGAAATCATGTTAAATTAAAGAATATATCTCCCTTGTGCAAAGCTCTGATTCCTTGTCCGGTTTTGGCTCTACATTAGGTCCTTTTGGTCGAGACCAAAATATTTGAAAAACCAAAATTTATACAAACGTGGATACATAATTGTAATAATAATAGTAATAATGATAAAAAAAAAATAGCGACAACGATTTAAAAGAGGTTCAGTTGTGTATGAGTCTTTCTCATTTCTAATTTAACCCCAAGGGTGACTGGGGAATAGAAGTATGGTCACCATTGGTCTTCCCCCGACCGGCAGTAAAACCCGTGCTAAAGTGGGGCGTCCGTTTGGCTGTGCGGGATGTACAAATTTGCAGCCACGTCCGGTCAGAATGGGGACGTTAAATCCGATGCCTCGTTTAAAGAGAGTGCCACGCTCTTTGCACGTTAAGAACCCTTGCAACAACTCTTTGAGGGGTCCATAGGTGACCTGTTTCAAGGCTAAATTTTCTGTCCCTATCCAATATACCCTCATTACCCGTGGCAGTCTAAATTTCTCCGACCTTAATCCCTTAATCTATTACAGAACCTACCTATTGTATTTATTGTGAACTTGTTCTCGTCCTGAATATGCATGAAATATTTGCCACTGGACGTTAAGCAACCAACAATCAATCAATCAATCATTTCTAATTTATATTTTTTAATCCGTTCCATTGTTAACAATTATATAGTAGACTTCTTTCATTTGTTTTGTTATTTTCTTTCTTTTATCTTAAAAAAATATATTCATTTACGTTAGCCTCAAATATTCAGGTTTGAAATATATATATATTTTTTTCAATAGATGAAATTAAGAAATTGTCTTTAATATCACACTCGTCACTTGGAGACCACAGTCCGTTGACGTAGTATGGTATGTGGATAGAGGCAAGTTAAAGGCGTTAAATAATGTTGACGGAGGAATAATTAATCGTTCAACGACTTTTTATGAGTAAATTTTATTATTTTCAATTATGAAATTGAATCTGCAAATTGAGTTTTTTGTCACACAAATCTGAATAGTCAATGAAATTTGAAATTTTAAACTTTGGAGTAGGCCCGGTAAGACCCCTTTTTGGCCCCACAATATAGCATTTTTACAAATTTGTCAAAAATATAAACTTTTAGCTATTCAATGGAAAGTAGAATACTTTTGTTGCATAAATATGGGCTGGTTTTTTTTTTTACAAAAAACAATGCACTTGCATCAGGTACTAGCATCATTAATTAATGCAAAATTGCTGAAATCTTCACAATTGTAGCATTTGTGCTAATTTTAGACGGTTTTTGTCTAAAATAGAAGTGGCCGCATTTGTGTTCAGTCTTAATATTTAATTCCATGTTGTATTCGATGATTATACATAACATATATAAAGGTTGAGACTGAACACGAATGTGGCCATTTACATTTTACACAAAAACTATTTGAAAAGTGACGTTTTATGGCATACTTTGGTAGATTTTTCATATCTGAGCTTGAATTTGATCGTCTTTAATGACCAAATCAGTTCAAATCGTTTACATAAACTTATTGAATCGACTGAAGTAGACACTTTAGTGTTTGGAAAATGTAAAAAATCTTTCATCAGACGTACTTCAAATTATAGGCCAAAGTAAGCCCTTACCAGACTTTCTACTTTGTAAATTACTATAAATGGATATATATACATGTTTTAAAATGTCAGTTGTAGTTATTTGACGTTGTAATGTACCTTCATGTCGGGGCCTTTTATAGAAGACTATACGGTATGAATTTTTCTCATTGTTGAAGGCCGTACGGTTGCCTATAATTTCTTGCATCCACTTTATTTGAACTTTGACGGATTGTTGTCTCCTTGGCAATCATACCACATCTCCTTATTTTTATACATTTTTCGAAAACCGCGACACTTTACCTGGGATTTTGAGACATTTGAACTTGACAAAATGTTTGCATTGTTGCATTGTTGCATTTGACATTTTCTTTTATGATGTCAAAATTTAAAAGATCGTCTGTTATGACCAGTAATGGTGGACACTTATCGATAAAGGTGTTTTTCATTTAAAATCCGCTTTCCTGTAATGCATTATTTACAAACATATACCAATGTTAACAGCTGTTTACTTGCGAAATAATGGTAAAAAAATATTAAAAGCGTCATTTGTTTTCTCAGCTTGAGATGAAACATAAGCGACGTTCGGATTGATAAAGCAAATGGCTAATCCGCAAAGGTTCTATAATAGCAATTTTGACATTTGTTTTTTTTTTTACAAAGATACAGGAGGTAAATAATTTGTAAGTAACCAATCTGAAAAATGAGGCAATGTCATGTAGAAATACATCAAAATCTATTTATACTTTTGTTTGAAATCTTTGGTTGGTGTATTTAAATGGAGTAATAATAGATTCGTTTGTCTACAGTATTGCACAGTAAGTTAAGTGATGAAAACTTTGAATATAAAAAATAAATTGTATAAATGTAATGCATTCGAAGAGCTCAAACCCAAAATTAAACCTATTGAATGTGTGTTAGGTGTTTTCTACACTGCCTTACAAAAGTGCTAAAATTGCTTTTATAAAGGCAAACTATTTATCTTTATTTTGTTAAACTTTTTATAAGAAAATTGCCAATTACTATTATAATGTTTTTATTATTTCAAAAGATATTTTTTTATAAAGTCTAACATATATCTGAATTTATTGTATCTTAATTCCAAACTAATTTCTGATATCCTTATCTTCATTTATCAATCTTTGTAATACACCGACTTCCATATTTATCTTTTATGTTGTACATCTGCGTATCCGCCAGAACTTCTAAGATTTCCCCAAATTCGTGGTGCTCAATCTTTAGTTTTCTATTTTGTGTTATTAGCATGTTGTTAAATGAGACAAATTACGATAAACCGTTGCCGTCTGACCGTCCGTCCGTCGTCAACACTTCGGACAATAACTCAAAAACTCTTCCACCAATTTTTATAGATTTTACGTTTCCGATTTATGGGGTTTTATTCATAAAAAAATGGGGGTTTTTCCAGTTTTCTGACAATCACTCAAAAACGCTTTGGCAGTTATCATGAAACCTTGTTGACTTGTTCAAATATATTAAAATAAGCTCCCCTTTGGGGTTTTTATAAGTTTTTGATATGAAGTTGCGGAGTTATAGTACTTTATCCGTTCAAAAAATCGTCGAAAACTGTTCACCTTGGACGGTTATAGAATTGTATTTGTTCAAGAATCGTGTTGTGAACAAGATAGAAATGTAGAGGTGAAAAATCAAGGCCACAAACGTAGTTAAACTTGACGTAGCTTAAATAATGCCACAAATTATTAATGATTTGTGCTAATGGGTGCCACTGTGTGTGCATGTCTTTTTTTATGGGTGTCTATTTGAGCAGTGCTCATAGTATTTCTAGTTGATCAAATAAATTCATTTAAAGCATAAAGACGAGCTAAAAAGGAGACGGGCTCTTTTTAGTCATGATTTTGTTGGTTTGTCTTCGACTTATTGATTATTACTTTAGTATTCTATCGCCACTTTCGTATCGTTAAATCAATCTAAGGTAAAATTTGCCTGTGGGAGTTGGAAATTTAGTTTCTCAATTTCGTTGATCTATATCCATCAACGGATCATTTAAGAACTGTATGTTATAAATCATGTGAGTGCCAAAGTACTGACTACTGAGCTGAATACAAGATTCATGAACAATATTATCTGTAATACTCGAGCATGCATTTAACATGTTATTTTAATCTTAAATTCTTTCACATTCAAAACTACAGAAAACCAAAGCTACGCACGATTTGACAATGTTCCTCACCATAGTGTTGCTCGAAAGTAAATGTAGAAAAACAATAATAATAAAAACACATTAAATTATTATATTTCGTAAACGCGTGCTAGGATGATCCTTAAACTATAATTAAAAAGCAATAAGTTGAATACAAATTGTCATTGTGTCAAAATTCATTTATTCTGGTAACAATGGGAAACAGATTGAATCCATGGTCGACCGCGACCTGAAAGAGCTGGATGATTGGTCAACTAAATGGCTACTGTCATTTAATCTTGATAAAACAGAATTTATGATATTTTTGGAATATCGATTTACCAGATCTGAACTTTTCCTTAAATGATAAATAAATCCCTGTAAGAACATCCCATAATCATCTGGGAGTTACCTTTAGTAGTGACGCAAAATGAAACAATCATATTGAAAGTATAATTACAAGTGTAAAGAAACACCTTAATGTTATGCATAAACTTAAATACCGACTGTCTCAAAATAATTTAGAAAAACTCTACCTATTTTTCGAATAATTGTAGGATATGTTATTCAAATAAATTAGGAAACTTGCAATTGCAATTCGCAAGAATTGTAACAGGTCTACCATTTTTCACATAAACTAATACTCTGTACACTAAAATTGGCTGGAAATCTTAATATGAAAGACGAGAAGAAGAAAATTACAGATGTTCTATGACATGAATCAAAACATGCACCTAAGTATATGCGTAATGTTGTCCCCCCATGTGTTCAAAGTGCAACCAATTATCCGTTGCGAAACGGTCAAAATATCATTGTTCCATTATGTAGAATTTCCCTAACTACTGAATCTTTTATTACATCCAAATTACGAGAATGGAATAAGCTTGATTAAAAAATTCTTAACATCGACTCTATATCTAAATTTAAGAAAGAATTGAAAAATGATAGTGTTCAGAGTAAAGTTTCAACGGATTATCTGAAGGGTCCGAGGAAACTGAATATTATTTTAGCTCAATTGTGATGTTCATTTTAATGTTTAAGCTTTGACCTTTTCAAAGCTAACATTAAACTCGCTCCTCCCTGTCAATGTAGATAGTGTTTAGGATGTTCATCATTTCTTCTTTGTTTGCCAAAAATACACTAAATGTAGAGAAACTTTACTCAACAATCATGATTGGCTTACCGAAAACTTTGTTGTAGATACTAATCTGTTAACTTGGGAAGACTTTGAACTTTCGAATGAACAAAATCTCCCAATTTTCAAACAAGTTCAAGATTTTATTAACAGGTCAATATTGTTGCATCTTACAAAGTCTATCCGAATTATTTTGCAAAGAATTCCGCTTAAATCGGTGCTAGGGGCCGTCTTAAAATTGCAGTGAGGTGAGAGTTTTTTTGGGTTTTTTTTTTACTCCGTGTTGAAGGCCACACTGTGACTTTGAGATGAAGTACATCAATATGAAAGCGCTACTCCTTTGTTTTTTGTGTGTTTTTTTTTTTTTTTTGTATTATAGGGAAGACTTCATAAGTATGATTTACTTGAGTCTATTCCATTTTGCTTAGATGTAACAAGTAAAATATGTTTAAACTAAACTAAACTTAATTGTATTGTACAGCAATGGCACTACAGTGATAATATATTTATTGTATTCCATTTCATTATTTTTAGACTAATTTACACTTTCATAATTAGCCTGGTATCCTTAACGAGTTCTTTAACATCAACTTCGATCAATTCATATAACATGTGGTTCTTATGCAGTGTACAGCCAATCTTTGCAACCGATTAAAATATTTGTGTGACTAGTATAATGCCTTTAAAAGACATTAACAGTTTGAAAGAACTTCCTCTACATGATGACAAAATCGGTACACTCATACAGTTATAACGTGTATATCACTTTCTACTAAGCTGTACTCCTTTTTCCTTTTAACACATTTTAATGATATTTAAATGTCAGAATTATTATTTGTTAAATTTCTTACGGATCGAAAGAGTACAATAACGATGAAATCTAATGTTAGAAAATTTTAAATACAAAATTAAAAAATAGTAAAACAAACAAAAAACAAGCAGTCAGTTACTGTTATATTTTTGTACATTTATTTACATAACATTTAAAGATACAATGTTAACCTTACATTAATTCTTCCATTTCAGTTTATAGATCGAAATAACTTGGAGGACATGATAGATAAAGATAGACGTAAAGATTTTTCTACATTGGATGAATTACCTCTCTCCAAATTCGATTATTTTATGCCAGCAAATTTAAATGCTGAGAATAGCGAGGCTGATAACAGTCTTTTTAATGGAAAGAGACAAATGGTAAATTTTTTTTTCAATAAAGTTTTAGGAAAATTCATTATACACGAATGTTAGATGGGAATCTGTATTTTCCTACGAAGTTTAAGTTGTTTTCAATAATAAATTTTGTCACAAACTTGAAATTTCATCGAGTATATAATGAGCATTATAATAAGAAATCCCACTTGGGTTAAATAAATAGTAATCTTGTTACTTTCAAAGTACGGTGTTACGCTTTGAGTTCACGTTCAGTATAAATTTGATACGTAACTGTATAATTATATTAAAAATAATGCTAAAGACTAAAACCAGATTTCATATAATTGCTTCTAATTACAGAGATTTTAAATGATTTTTTTTTTGTTTTAATTTCAGATTAAAGACTATAAAATGCTATCAAAACGGCTTACATGCATTCCATATGGGTGTAGAATTCCATTTAAGGAATGAAGATGTCGGACAACCAATTTTGATATCAACAGTGGAACAATATTAACATTTCTTATTTCATTAAACTTTTAACATAAGTATGTAAAACCATTACGTTTCATTTTTATTAAAGCAACAAATGTGCACACACAATTCTATCCTTCTCTTGAGTTGGTAATGGTGTTATTTTATGTATTTTCTAACCATGACAAGAATATTAAAATGGAATTGTGTATGTAATGGTGATATTATTTGTATTTTCTAACCATGTAGGTTTTTTCTCCTAAATCAAAACCGTGTGTAAACAAAAAAAAATCCTGTGCATATAGTTGCTTTAAACTTAAAATCATATAAATGAAGTAGCTGATTTTTTATCTTAACTTTTACATACATATAGAAAATTAAAAAAACAATAAAATAACTGTTATATAAGGCAACTCATGTAAGACCAAACAGTAAACATGAAAACAAACATCTTAAAACAAAAACTCTGTAGACGAACCACGAGCAACTCGACTATACTGACCAATAAGACATATGTGAAATGTACCAAAAATACAGAATTCAAACCACAAACGAAATAAACAGACAACAACTCAGCACAGAATGACCCACACTTATAAGACAGTAACAACAAAATGACCGTAAGCGAGATATATAAATACCGAACCACGTCGTCTTCAACAGCGAACATAATACATAACAAGATATCCAGAAAGACTTACAAAAGAAACATCAAAACTAAATACATGAATGTTGGATATATAAATACCGAGTCACGTCGTATAGCAATGCGAATTCACACTCGGTAAAGCAGTCATATTCGGGAATAGGCCACGTTCGGTACTAACCAGACCATTTAGGTATCCATAAAATTTGAGGAGTGTCATTTTCAATCTTTTGGAGCAGTTTCTGCGTAAGGAGCACACTCCTGTATATGAAGTCCGTATAGTGTGAACATGCACGAGCATAACGTATCAATTGAGATATGTAAACACCATACTACGGGGCAGAGGGTATGTTTCTGCTGACAAAATGGAAAATTGATAATAGGGAAGTTGATATCGTCCCGTTTGTCATAGATTTTAGTCTGAAGTCGTCCATCTGTGTCAATATTGAGGAAAAGATCAAGGTATGAAGCAGCCCTTCTAATATCAGTAGTATCCTTAATTTCAAGTTCACTGTGATATATGAGATGCAAGTACTGACTGAAATATAGGTTAAGTCAAGTTCCCATCGGACTCAAACTATGTTTTAATTTGTACTCACAGTCAAACATAAGTCCCTTTTCAGCCGGTGCTTTACTGCAGGATGGGATAAGTCGTTTTGACATTAGTTCTAATTCCTAGTAATCCTTTGGTGGTTCATTTTTTCAAGATGTGCTGTGATTGCCAATGAGACAACATTGTACTCATCTAAGCAACTATTGCCCACCGTTTGGCCTTCAATTATGAGCAAAGTCTATACTATGCAATAAGATATTAAAGGCCCCGGAATGACAAAACGTGAAACTTTTCAAACGAGAAAACAAACGACATCTTTATGCTAAACCAATAAACGGAAAACAAATATGGAAAACATCAACCAACAAACAACCAAAGAATACCAGGCTCGTGTGACTTGTAACAAGCAAATGTGTCGGTGTTAAATGTGTATGTCAGCGGTCATGTAACAGTTACACATAAGACTGTACAAATCAATTTGAAATAGATTGAATCATAAGATTTGCACAAATCACATCCAACGTAATTAGTGTTTAGACGTCATAAGCAATCTGTCTCTAAAACGTGACCTTGTGCAATGTCGATATAAGTATCGACATGATGTAGGACCATAAGTGTTCATAACTGTAAAGCAATACATATTTAGGTGTGTTTTAATATCTAAAAAATTTTTGGAAAAAAAAAGTAATATTATTTCGACCTCCATACATTAGAATGAAACACCATAAAACATAAATGTGTTTTCACTGAATCATTCAAAGTTCGGTGACTGATTAGATCACATCAATCCCATTGAATAGGAACTAAGGATATAACAGAAACAGATAATTCTGCTTTATATCTAGAAATTGTCAACAAGGGTCGACTGAAAACTAAACATTACGACAAAGGAGATACATTCAATTTAACCATATTTAACTTTCCATTTCTATGTAACAACATTCCAGCAGCACCTACATTGGGAGGAATATCTCACCAACTGATCTTTTACTCCAGGGCATGCGTTTCTTACTATGAATTCTTTAATAGAGTGTTGCTTCGTACAATGTTGTTAATGTCCGAGGATTATTTAAGGCACATTTGACCATATTTCGTCCTCTTTTCATCACCGAATGAGACTTTAAATTTTAACTTTCAATTAGTATCATGTGAGGGGCCACTGTATAGTGTTTCGTGGACTGTTGCTTATCTTTTCGTTTTAGCCATGATGTTCTTCTGATTCCCCCACCTTATTTGCACTGTATTATGGATACAACTATTCAAGATTGACCTAAAAAGAAATGAAGGTAAAGTGTGAGCACTTTTCTTAACTTATTATTCCATACCGGTAGCATTTATATCTGTACATAACAATGTGTCTGTTGTCAATATATGCACTTTATGTGTCTGTCCAAAGTCAAGAGCATGTAGTTGAGGGGTTTTCGTTGTTTCTTGCCTGTAATATCTGTTTTTCGTAAATTGTTTTGTTATGAATCATTCCGTTATTTTTCTCAGTTGAATTGTTTCACATTTGTTATGTCGAGGCCTTTTACAATGTCTATACGTTATGGTTTTTCTCATCGTTGACGGTCGTACGATTGCTTCTAATTGCTTACATCTACTTTATTTGAACTTTGGTGATAGTTGTCTCTTTGGCAATGATACCACGTCTCCTTATTTTTATACTGATAGCAAAATAAGGTTCCAAAATAATTAAATATTGTCATTTCTATTTATCATTTTTTTTGTAATGGAAGAATTGATAAACAACGAATATTGTAGCCACAATAGCCTTATACAATAAATACTTTGAGTCGAGGATTCAATTTTTTTGTCAGCGCTTTCCTTTATGTTTTTCGCCCGGTTAAGAATGATTACTTCCAATGAAATCAGGTAAAACTAACAGAGGAAGGTCAAGCTCGTACGCCTTTGATGTGTTTACGTTTTGGCCCGATTTTTATCAATTCCGATTGCATATTTTAAATACGTAATCGTTGTAGATGAGAGATGAAAGTATTGCGCTTGTTGCATGATTCGCGTTTCTCTAATAACTCAGTAGAAATTTGACTATTTACATTTGGTCCGTACGAAAGCATAAGAACGTTGAATTAGTAGCTTTGTTTATTATGAAGTCAAATCCATTTATTATTTTTAACCTTGATATTTATTAAATACTGTGGATTCATTTTTATTCGTTGTATACCAATTTTCGTGGGTTTCGTGGGTCACACCGAACCACGAATTTTAAGAATTCAACGAAGAATAATCCCGAGAAATTTGTATGGAGTCGGATGTTTATTTCCGGTTATGTTATGCAGTTCTAGTATAGTGTTGATTAGCGATAAACATTGTAACATAACACGTGTTTTTATTGAAAGAAGATACAAGTATTTTGATGATTAAATCAATAATAAATATATCGAATATCAGTGATAATTTACTTTTAAAAATTGATTAAAACTGTTCATGGAAAATAACTGCAAGTTTTTAATTACCGTGTCATAGTTTGGTTTACTGGTGATTAAAAATCAATAGGATTAAGTACGGGGATATTGCCCGTAGTTAATATTGTTTATGACAGGAACATTTATTTTCACACCTTTTACTTATATGACTGTTTATTATATCGTGATTAGAGAAATGAGCTTTCAATCATAGAGTTTTGAATGCCTTATAAAATTCCGACAAGAATTTATAAATTGTAAAACAAACAAATAATGTCTCTGTCCATTATTGTAATAGAAGTTTTCAATAAACACTTTAACCTATAATGACCAAGCGAAGATTTTGACAATTCAAAACTTTTTCAATGAATTCCTTCTTATCTGTTTGTTTTATTATTGATATCGAATCTTAATTATTTTTTTTTATTTTTTTTTGTAATCAGCGATTTACGAATTTACTTATACCACGAAACGTCTTTTTTTCTCTATACCCAGAATTTACAGACTGAACACTGGGCGAAAGATAGTTGCAAGGGACTTATTATGGCTAATATGAACTAATCACTTATTGATAAGTATAAATATAAAAAATAAGAAGACGTGGTATGATTGCCAATGAGACAACTCTCCACCAGAGACCAAAAGACATAGAAATTATTAACTGTAGATCACCGTCGGTCTTATTCCTGACTTGGTCCCAGTGCTTAAAATCCCTCGATCCCTTATGGGTTGATTTGGCATACATAAATAAAATACAAGAATATGTATGCAGTGAACGAGGTTGTTAAATGTGATATATGCTTTTTTATGCCTCTTTGTTAAATATTTGATTGTTTTTCTTGTGATTAAGATTTTGACACGGTGTTGACTGCTGTACCCCTATTTTGACATTTTTACCTATTATATCTGTTTGTTTTATTCACGCATTGTTGTCAATATAATTGAATTTGATGCGACTGTCATACAAGTGTGAGGTTTAGCGCTATAAAACCAAGTTCAATCCACCATTTTCTAAATAAGAAAATGCCCGTACCAAGTCAGGAATATGACAGTTGTTGTCCATTCGTTTCATGTGTTTGTGCTTTTGATTTTGCCATTTGATTGGGGACTTTCCGTTTTAAATTTTCCTCGGAGTTCAGTATTTTTGTGATTTAACTTTTTGGTATTTTAGTTACGACAATTGGAACATATTAGTTGTCATCTGTGAAACAGAAATTCCATAACCAACTCGTCATGGCGACCGTAAAATTCATGAAGGGATGATTTCAACTTCAAAACTCTTGGTTTAATAGCTTCCTTGTAAGCAGCAACCCTCTATCAAGGAACTCATGACAGGAAATACAATCCCTGGAATATCGTATCAACTGGAAGATATATACTCCGTATGCAGGCGCTACTGGAATGTTGCTACATAGAAATGGAAAGTTCACAATTGGAAGATGAAATCATCTCTTTGGTCGTAAAGTGTTGGTTTCAACCGACCATCATTGTTAATTTTTAGATGTAAGTAAAGATATGAGGCAGACTTAACTGTATCTGTTGTATCCTTAATCTCAAGTTCGATTGGATAGATGCATTC